CCTACTCCAACAAAGCCACACCTCCTAAAAGTGCCACTCCCTATGAGATTATGGGTGCCAATTACATTCAAAGGACCACAAGGACCAAATGAAGTCCTGTTAGGAGAACTTGCAAACTATAAAGCACCCCAAGGAACTGGAATGAAGCCTGGGTGCATGATGCAACAGACAGCTATGTTTCAGCCGTGTCACAGAACCTCCCGCACAGGCATGCTACTCACTTATGTGTGGATTCTAATGCTGGGATCAAATCCACGGCTTCACAAATGCCTGCACAAACACTATTTGTGAGCTACCGCTACAGTTTCATAAGCACTTTAGAAGCCCAGAATGGCAATTCATGGCAATCCTACTGCCTCAGGCTCTTGAGTGCTGGGAGCATAGGAACGAGCTGCTGCATAAGTACTTGTCTATTTGTTTAAGATGAGGTATGTTGTAACCTACCTGGCCTCAAATTAGTTATGGAACAGAGAATGACCTTGAACTTCCTGCTTTTGTTGCTGGGATTACAGGTGTGCACGGCCAAACCTAGTTTTATGCAGTACTGGGGGACTGAAACGATGACTTCATACATGGTAAGCAAGCACTCTACCGCCTAGCCTCTCTCCTGCCTTGCTATTGGTTGTTCAGCTCTTTATTAGACCATCAGGTGTTTTAGACAGGCAAAGTAACACAGCTTCACAGAGTTAAACAAATGCAACGTAAAAGCATGAAACATACCAAGCTGGGTGTTGGTGGTGCATGCCTTTAATCCCAGCATTCAGGAGGCAGAGGCAGGTGGATCTCTGTGAGTTTGAGGCCAGCCTGGTCTACAGAGTGAGTTCCAGGACAGCTTCCAAATCAATACAGAGAAACCCTGTCTCAAAAAACAAATGAACAAACAAAAAAGACTGAAACATATCTTTGCATCATTAGACAAGTGTTCCTCGGTGTAAACAAATGTGACACATCTTTAATATATATTCTACAACACATAAGCACCGTAATAAGATCATCTTTGCCATTGCTCCAGCCTGTAAAGCAATCCCAACCTCACACACTTCAAATTCCTGCCAGAAGCAAGGCAGAGGCCAGAAAGAGGTAAATTGACTAGGATTGTGCTAGCTGCTATAACAAATAGACTCTAGTAAGTACAATGGCTCTCAGAATTATCCAAAGCTGGTGTTCCAGGTTGACAGGTGACATGCCTCCAAGCACTGATGCATAGACCCTACTTCTTTCTTCTTGTGGCTCCAAGATCCTCTAGGGCAGCAGTTCTCAACCTGTGGGTCAAGACCTCTTCAGGTTTGTGCATCAGATATCCTGAATATCAGATATTTACATTATGTTTCATAACCATAGCAAAATTACAGTCTTGAAGTATCAATGAAATAATTTTATGGCTGGGGGTCATCACAACATGAGGAACTATGTTAAAGGGTCGTGGCATTAGGAAGGTTGAGAACCACTGGTCTTGATTCTCATTTTCTTCTGTATCCAGCCATAAAAGACAGACAGTGGGTAGAAGAATTCCTTGAACCCAGAAATTGGGAGCCCATCTAGGAGGCAGTGAGACCATAGGGCTGGAGATGGTCCAGTGATTAAGAGTATATGCTATGGACGTACAGATTAAGATATGTAAGACTGGGCTGGAGAGATGGCTCAGAGGTTAAGAGCACTGACTGCTCTTCTAGAGGTCCTAAGTTCAATTCCCAGCAACCACATGGTGGCTCACAGCCGTCTATAATGAGATCTGGTGTCCTCTTCTAGCGTGCCGACAGACATGGAGGTAGGATGTTGTATTCATAATAAATAAATAAATCTTAAAAAAATAATTTAAAAAAAGATTCACAGGACTAGGAAAATATAGGTTAATTTTATTTGGGGAAAAAGTCACAGGAGAAACTGATAACCCCAGTTCTAGCTCCAGGGATCAACGCTCAGATGCTCTTTGTGACCTGATCGGAACCAAGAGAGCAAGCCTGCCCCAGACCCCAGACCAAATCTCCACGCTCATGTACACACCTGTGACCACACCCAATGGGCGTGTCAGCGCCACAGGTGCATAGTTAGCTCTCTCCCTACAATTCCCCTTTTAGTCTAAAGAAAAAGATTTGCAATTGATACAAAACTATATACAAAGATAGCAAATATCAAGTGCGCTCTAGGAGAAGGAAAAGTAGGAGCGCATACACTTAAGACCCACAGCCAGGGAAGCAGCTACAGCAAAAGGCAAGAACTCCATATCCAGTCCTAGGGTAAAGGCATAACAGAGATCACTATAGAGTCATCCTAAGCTGGAAAGTTTAAGTCCTGTATCTAATATTTCTATCTAGGAAGAGAGAATAATAATTGTCACAGTCTAATCTTCAACCTCATCAAAGACCTGAGAAGGAAGATAACAATACCAGGGTAGACAGGAAGTGCAGGTGAGCAGCTTCCAAAGGTGCAGAGAAGACAGAGACAGCAGGCTACCTGGACAGTCACCCAGAGTCTCACAGCAGCGTAGGGGCAAACAGCTTTGTCTGAGGCCTAGAGTATCAGAGTGACCAACACAGACGCAGGGAAGTAGAAAGGCTGTCTTACCCTGGCTTGGCAAGGTTCAGCATCTTCTAAATTATCTACTGCAAGCACAGTAGGACAGCATGCCCAAAGTCAGCGATCGAGGTGGGGACAGTTGTATACTGCTCTTGAAGATGACCTGAGTTCACTTCCCAGCAACCACATCAGGCAGCTGACACCACATCAGTAATTGCCTGTCACTCCAGATCCAGGGTGTCAGATACTCCAGGCCTCCTCATGCAGTGGCACGGACATTCAAATAAACACACACACACACACACACACACACACACACACACACGTAACAACAACAACAATAAAAGAAACCTCTAAAACAAAACACATAGTTCTCACTTGTCTCAAAAAGTTGGGGTAAGGCTGATGAGATGGCCCAGCAGGTAAGGGTGCCACTTGCTACCAAGCCTGATGAACTGAGTTTTATCCCCAGAACCCAATGGGTGAGAAGAGAGAGCCACCTCCTGGAAGTCATTCTCTGGCTTCTATGCCACAACATGAACATGTACCCACACACAGCAAATAATAAACTAGCAAAAGAAACTCCTTTCAAAGAACGCTTCCCTTCACACCTGCTGAAATGCTAACCACTCATTTCATAGTATTTGGAAATATTGGAAACGGGCCCTTTGGACAGAAAGCATACCGTGCCAAGGACGAATCCCTTGTGATGGACGAGTGTCCTTTATAAGACAAGAGCTTGCTTTCTCTCTGCTCTCTGCCTCATGGGAGCACTGCAAAGAGTCAGCCCTCTGCAAGCCAGGACTCACGCATGGGAGCACTGCAAAGAGTCAGCCGTCTGCAAGCCGGGACTCATCAGCCCAGAGACTTTTCAGCCCTTGGTCTTGAACAAGCTAGCCTCCAGAATGGGGAGAAAACTTGTTCAAACCAACCTGTCTATGGTATTTTTTCTTTGTAATTTTAAGTTTTTTTGTTTATTTTTTGTTTTCGTTTTGTTTTTGGAGACAGGGTTTCTCTGTATTGTTTTGGAGGCTGTCCTGGAACTCGCTCTGTAGCTCAGGCTGTCCTGGAACTCACAGAGATCCACCTGCCTCTGCCTCCCAAGTGCTGGGATTAAAGGCGTGTGTCACCAACGGCCAGCTAATTTTAGGGTATTTTTATGTGTATGACTGTATTGCCTGCACGTGTGTCTGTGAACTACCTACATGCCTGGTACCCTCAGAGGGCATCACATTCTCTGGAACTGGAGTCGCAGGCAGTTGTGAGCTGACACATGGGTGCTGGGAATGGACCCCAGGTCCTCTAAAAGAGAAGCCGGTGTTCTTAACCACTGAGCCATTCTTCCAGCCACATTTATTCATTGGTTTGTTTGTTTCAGGACATGCAGTCCTGGCTGATCTGGGGCTGTGTTGCCAAGGCTGGCCTTGAACTCACAGAGCTTCACCTGCCTCAGCCTCTCTGGTGCTGGGCATGGTATCTTTTTTTTTTTTTTTTTTTTTTTTTTTGGTTTTTAGGAGACAGGGTTTCTCTGTATTGTTTCAGAGGCTATCGGTCCAGCCCGGCCTCGAACTCACAGAGTGGGCATGGTATCTTTCTTACAGAGTCTGCACTGAGACAGTTCTGCACCAAGATGGAATTCCTCCTCGAGTATGGTTGACCTGCATCTTTGACACGGGAGTACATGATCCATTCTCCTATCCATTGGTGCATGTGTGCATACCTGACCCCTGGAGTGTCTGAGTACACATACACCTACATGTGGATGTGCCTGTTGTATGCACCTACATAAGGCACTATGTAGTCACACACATTACACACACACACACACACACACACACACAGATTGAGTATCAGGTAGCTAAGTCTGACCTCAAACTTACATTGTTGAAGCTCCTGATTCTCCTGCCTCTATGTCCTAAGGGCTGGCATTACAGGCATGCCACCACATCCAGATCCACATGTGTGTCTGAAGCTTTAGGTGCTCTTGTGAAAGAAAGTCTATAAGTTCATGACATGCATTTTCACACATGCAATGTGTTTACCCCTTTGCTCATCTGGTCATCAGAAGACAGCCTCAGGATAGCAGTCTCCACGTGCAAACTGCTTGGGGCGAGGGTGCCAAGCATGCATAAGCCTGGCACACAGTAGCTAAGGGGTAAATGTGTGCTGGATGAAGCACATATGTGGATAGCCAGGACCCAGGGCACATGTCACCATGTCCACAGGAACCCCAGGCACGAAAGTGCATAATTGTATGGTGTGCACTTCTGTGTGCTGACACATAGCCTTGGAGTTCCAAGGCTGAGGCAGAACACTCCAGGCTCCTCACTGGGCACACAGAGTCTCCTGCTGTCTGTTGGTGCTTGCATGGGGTGCAACCAAGTGTGCGTTGGCGGCATGTGTGTGTGTGCGTGAACGTGTGTGTATGCGAGTAGGAAGAGGCGTTCGCTCTCTTAGACCTTGCTTCTTTCTGTGGTTTGGTTTCTATAGAGACACTTCCTGTGGTAGAGAAAAGAGGTAGTGAGCGGGTGTTTCAGGATGTGAGGGCCCGCAGGAACCGAGCGAGCTCTCTCCACTGCCTGCCTGCCACCCGAGAGCTCTGATCGGTGCTTCCACAATCCTTGTGGTGGGTGGCCCCCCGTGGCGGGGACCTGTGATCAGCGGCAGAATGCCAGGGAAGCCCAAGCACTTGGGTGTCCCCAACGGGCGCATGGTGAGTGCAGGCTCTGAGCCAGAGCCACAAGGAGGGGGTGGGCACACCCAGGGTGGAGTTCAGGAGGCACGCCCGCCCGGCAGGGTTGAGGAGTAACCCCGGGGGCTGCCAGCAGGCTGGAGAAGTTGGGTACAGACAGCTGCTGACAGTGGGACCTGGTGCTGTCACCCCAGGACCCTTCCAGTTGCCCTGCTAGGAGTCTAGTGCAACCCTAGGGACAGGCCCAGAGCACAGAGGGCACAGGCTCAGGTTCCCCATGCTCACTCTTACAAGTGCTCCAGCCCCTATGCCTCTGGACCTCAGCCCTGCTCTCCTCACCACATGCTCTGGGTGCCCGAGATAAGGTTAAGAGCGGACCTTGACGGGTGACTACATCAACTTGCTCCAGAGGCATCCTGCTAGAACTGGCGTTCTTTGGGCTGCCCAGGATGGTCAGTAAGGATGGGACAGGAGGAACAGCTCTGCCTGCTCTATTCCCAGCTTCCAGGAAGGAGGGTGTGTAGCTGAGAATAGGGTAGCCCAGGGCTGTAGCCATCCCCTTACTCTTTCTCCAGGCCATTTAACCCCGAAAACAGCTGTCCCAGAGTTCCTGGCTCTTCTCATTCATTCAGCAAATGGGGCAGGCTGTGTTGAGCCTCCCTTCTCTTGTCAGGGACCTGGAAGAGTCACTGAACAACTCCAGGGAGATCACACAATATCCCAGTAGCCCCTGTCCTAAAGGTCCAGCCTAGTAGCGTGGGACAAAGCCAGTGGGTCCAGGGTGACCTAGGATCCAGTTCTAGCTCTGTTGTTCCTCCCCAAGAAAGGTCCTTTCCTATTTTGTCATCTGTAAAATGAGATTGGGATGGGTCAAAGTCCTGTTTACTAAGTGGCATGATGAATCTGAGCCCCTTGAAGGCTATGGAAATGTTAGCCCCAAAGTTCCTGTATTTTCAGACCCTCTTTAAGAATTTTACACCTCACTAAACAGTCAAGACACCCTAGTTCCCACCCCTACTTTCCAGTTCCCAAGATCAGTCTCCATCTCTTTTTGTTTTGTTTTGTTTTTCGAGACTGGGGTTTCTCTGTATTGTTTTGGAGGCTGTCCTGAAACTCACTCTGTAGACCAGGCTGGCCTCGAACTCACAGAGGTCCTCCTGCCTCTGCCTCCCGAGTGCTGGGATGAAAGGTGTGGGCCACCACCGCCCGGCTCAGTGTCCATCTCTTGTCCAGCAGCCCTTTACGGTCAACATCACGAAGAAGGGAGACCGGTCCTAAAAGTTGGCTCGGCCCTCATCCCAACTCTTCTACTGCCAACTCGACTTAGGAAGTCCAAGGAGAGCCTGTCTCCCTTGCACTCCCACCCCGGGGGGCCATGGCACTTGGCTTGTCCTTCCCTAGGTGTCCTGGCCACAGAGCCAAGGAGCAATAGCTCAAGCACCCCCCCCTTCCCCCAGAGAGTAGCTGGATTGATGCTTCTGGGCCAGAACCCAGAGCTCCAGGCCAGCTTAGGGGGCTGGAGACAGACCCAGCCTGCCCCTCCTGTGTCAGCCCATAGCTTCTCTATGCAAAAGTCATTCATAGTGAAGAGGGTGACACAAGCTCTGCCCCTTGTCCTGCCCTGATCCTCTCAGGAACGGTCACACATGTTTATTTCTATCTTTCCTGGATTGGTTCTGAACTCGGTATGACCCTAGAGACCCCATGACTCACAGATGTTTACTTGCTGGACACCAGGCAGCTTTATGAGGCCATTCTTGGCTGGAGCAGGGACGGGAAGACAGGCATTGGTGACTAGGGTGTAGATGTGCATGGAGAAGGGTCTGTGGGTAAGGTGTCTGGTTGTTCCCTCATGGGGGAGGCTCAGAGGAACGCAACTGATATGTTGGTGAGTAGAAGGGTCACCATGTTCACGTACCCACTGAGTCCCCCAGCACCGTCTGGCTCTGGTCCCTCCCCATCCTCCAACAGTCCCTGCTGTCAACAGCCTTATCCTTCTGGCATTCAGTTTGTCAAGCAGCTGAGACGAGACCTGTCACTCAGAGAGAGCTCTTAGCCCCTCCCAGAGGAGTCTTCACACAGGACCAGCTGTCACTTCATGAGTGCACTCATCCATTCACTCAGGGGCTGCTCTGGGTTGTCCCACCCTCAGCACTTAAGACCCAAGTCCCCGTCCCCCAAGCAGCCCACAGCTGGCCGCAGTTTCGTGAGGCACAAAAGACATGAGTGACGACGACTGGGGGATGTCTGCTTTGGGGAAGAGCCTAGTTCAGGGTTGGAGAAAGCCTGAGAGGAGCCTGGCAAGAAGAGCCATCTTCTCCATCAACTGCTGACACTGTGGAAGATGGTTGGTCCTTTTTTTTTTTTGGTTTTTTTTCGAGACGGGGTTTTTCTGTGGCTTTGGAGGCTGTCCTGGAACTCGCTTGGTAGTCCAGGCTGGTCTCGAACTCACAGAGATCCGCCTGCCTCTGCCTCCCGAGTGCTCAGATTAAAGGCGTGCGCCACCAACGCCCAGCTGTGGTTGGTCCTTAAAGGGGATGCAAGCTAGAGGGGGAGCTGGGAGCTGGGGGGGCACGCAGACAGGAAAACACATGGCTGCTGCTGACACGACACCCCGAGGGAGTCTATGAGTTTAACCTCAAGTTAGTCAAGTCCTCTTTCCGGAAACTCAGTTAGTGCTGGTCCCCCCAACAGACACCGGCAAAGAGACCTACAAGAAGCTCGTGTGTCTCTATGTCCCTGGTGTCCAACTCAGGGTCAGGGATGGCAAGGCAGGGGTGCAGTCCTGGGGACAGCCCCAAGGAGCTGGCTCAGGCTGACAGGATCAGGAACCTAATGCTGTGTAGACATTCCCTAGAGAGAACGAGATCACAGTTCAGGGACTCTGGAAGGCACAAGGGACATGGGTGAGAAATAATGAGTAAGAGTTGCGGATAAAGTCTGAGGTGCCCATCAGCCGGTTGCTCTCTCTTTGAGATCTGAATCCTCTAGGGGCCCAGTCCAAGAGGAGTCATTGGGCCTTGCTCATCTGTATCCCAGGGCTACAGGCCCTGGTCTTCCAATCTCCCTATTTGTAATGGAAGTGACAAGTCCGGTGCAGTGACATATGCCTTTAGTGCTTAGAAGGCAGAGGCAGGTGGGACCCCAGAAGTCAGAGGCCAGCCAGGGCTACACAGTGAGTGGCAGGTCAGCCAGGGCTACACAGTGAAACCCTGCTTCAAATACTAGCTCGGCTACCTCCCAGCTCCATAACTTCTCTGGGCCTTGGGTTCCTCGCCTGTAAATCAGGGCAGTAATATTTGATGCAGAGGACAGAGATGTTGAGGGTAGAGTAAGAATATGAACTGGGGGGGAGGGCTGGAGAGATGGCTCAGAGATTAAGAGCACTGGCTGTTCTTCCAGGGGACCTGAGTTCATTTCTCAGCAACCACATGGTGGCTCACAACCATCCGTAATGAGATCTGGCGCCCTCTTCTGACTTGCAGGCAGAGCTCTGTATACAATAAGTAAATCTTTTTTTTTTTTTCTTTTTGAGACAGGGTTTCTCTGTATTGTTATGGAGGCTGCCCTCGAACTCTCTCTGTAGACCAGGCTGGCCTCGAACTCACAGAGATCCGCCTGCTTCTGCCTCCCAAGTGCTGGGATGAAAGGTGTGTGCCACCAACGCCCAGCTCTAATAAGTAAATCTTAAAAAAAATATAATAATAATATGGGTCGTCTGCCTCTAACACAGCTGGGTCAGGAAACGTGAGGTGGCTTCCTCAGTGTCCTCAGCTCCCTTAGAGCCACTTCCTAGGAACGAAGCATGACAAACTGAAGCCACACCCACTTGGTTGGGAGTGTCACTGGCTGCCACACCCTTCCTCATCCTCTCTTCCCCTTTTCCTCCTTTCACTCAGTATGGCACCTCAAGCAGAGGTGAGAACTAATGAACCCAACTTCCCCACATCTTGGAGCCTGTGCAAGCCATAGCTGTGGCTCTGGATCCCACTTTGCCCCTGACCAAGGTGTGTCCTAATCAGACGCAGAGCCGCCCCCAGGTGCTGGGGGTGCTGAGCCTCATGTTCCCCGGGGGGAAGACGGGCTCAGGGAAAATCAGCCGTTCCAGATGTGCAAATGACTGGGCGAGAACTGGATGCCGTTCCTTCTCTCGCCCAGCTCTAGATTTCCTCTCCATCTTTGTCCCAATTCCACCTTCAACAGCCAAGGAGGCCAAGAGCCTCAGGAGGCGACATGGGAGCGGACTGGGGACGGCCGCGCCCAAGCATGGAGCGGGCACCTGGGCCAGCGTCTTAGTCCTAAAGGTGCTTGAGCGTAGGGTCGAAGAGGATGCCCCTAGAGCAGGGATTTCAGACAGACGCCCTTCCCAACACGATCTGCCCCCCAGGAGCTGCCAGGCTGCAGCGATGAGAGACCCCGACACGGGTGGGCAGTGGGGTGGGAAGGGTGGAGAGCAGCCCTGGAGACAACAGACGGGGAGGGATCCAGGAGCAGCGCCAGGGGCTGCAGAAGCAGGTTCTCAGGCAGAGGAAACAGCAAAACAGGAAGCAGGGGTGCGGGGGGCAGACAAGTCTGACTGTGTGGGGTGGAGGAGAGGAGGAGGGGCTCATTAGTCAGGCACAGGTAGGGCTTAACTGTAACTAGGCAACAGCAACCACGCTGAGGCTGGCGAGGAATTGAGTCCAGGATAGAACAGTGGGGAGGGAGGGGCCTGGAGAAATCTGAGAGTCAACCCTACTTAAGGCCAGACATTTAATTAAAGATGATATAGAAATAAAGACCTCTGAGAGCCAAACAAAACCCTAGTACATCTGGTTTCAGTTCCCTTTTGGGAATGTCAAGGACTCCTGTCCAGAGAGAGCTACCTGCAAGGGGCAGGTAGATTTGGGACTGGAAGGCCACACAAAGGCTAAGGATACTTGAAGAGGGTATGGCCGTGTACTGGGGCGCGTGTGCGGGGCGGGGCGGGGCGGGGCGGGGGCGGGGGCGGGGCTGCTAGGGGGAGGACAGCACAGGCTTTAAGTTACCAACAAAGCTGCAGCTGCAGAGCAGCTGGGGGAGGAAGACCAGGCAGGGGTACAGGCAGGTGCTGAGGAAGAAAACAGCAGGTTGCCAGGGGACTTCACGCATCCTGAAGGGTCTCCCGCTCCTAGGAATCAGGATTTTTCTCCTAGGCTGAGAGATGTGAGGGCCTTGGTCGGGAGAGAAGACTCTAATGATGATGTGTGTGAGTTAGAGTGTGGAGGGGCAGGGATGGGCCCAGAGTGTGGGGTGCTGGGGTCCCTCACTCAGCCCCGGCCTTGCTCAACCCCCATGCAAGCTTGTAAAGCAAGAATACAGCAGGGCTGGGATTTGAATCTTTATCTTGAGAGCCCACACAATTGTGCTCTTTGTCTTGAGAGCACACACAATTGTGCTCTTTGTCTTGAGAGCACACACAATTGTGCTCTTTGTCTTGAGAGCACACACAATTGTGCTCTTTGTCTTGAGAGCACACACAATTGTGCTCTTTGTCTTGAGAGCACACACAATTGTGCTCTTTGTCTTGAGAGCACACACAATTGTGCTCTTTGTCTTGAGAGCACACACAATTGTGCTCTTTGTCTTGAGAGCACACACAATTGTGCTCTTTGTCTTGAGAGCACACACAATTGTGCTCTTTGTCTTGAGAGCACACACAATTGTGCTCTTTGTCTTGAGAGCCCACACAATTGTGCTCTCTGCTGTCCTGCAGGGTAGCAAACTCAGACACCTGGCAACAGCAGCCATGAATCTTGGTGAAACGACAGTAGCTGTAATGTTCTAGAACATTCACTAAACACCACAAAGTGTTTTGAGTTCCTTTTGTGTGCTTAACTCATTCAGCTGAAACAATCCTTTGAAGTCAGGGCCATTATTTGCCCAATTTTAAGAGAGGATGAACTAAGGTAAAAGTGATAGAGTATTCTTCCCAAGGTCCCACAGCAGGAAATTTGAATTCAAGCAGTCTCGGTGGTCCTCGCTTCCCGCTGCCTCCCAACATGGATATGTCAGCCTGGCCCCAGAATCCTTTGAGAGGAATGAGAATCCCCTGTAGGGAAGGCCACTGGCTGCAGGGGGCCAGTCAACCTTGCTACTCTGAGAAGACACTCATGACAGCCCCAGCCTCAATCACTCTTAAAGGGGAGGTAGGGAAATTGAACCAGTGGGAGAAATCTCCCTATTTTTAAACCTAGGAGGCCCATGTAGGTCAAATAATATCCTAGAGTGTCCTGCAGACCAATCCTGGCTCCCGCATGACCTAGGTGCCCCAAGGGTAGGCCTGAAGAACACAGAACAGGATGGGGGAGGCTTTCCTAGGCTTACTTCCAGTGAGGATGCAAGCTCTGTTGCAGGGTCTACTGACATGTCGGAGGTGATGGGGCTTGGACTGCTGGGAGTTAACCAATGGAAAGGACAGCATACAGGGAAACTGTTTCAGGACTTTTACAGTGGGCCCAGAAAGGTGTCCATCTGAGACTGTCTGAGTTTGAGCGGCTAATGGCGTCTGGAGACAGATTTTAGCAGGAAACTGGCTGTGTGTGGTTGGAACGAAACGTTGGGGTGGGGCACAAAGGGCCCAGAACAGAAAGAACCAAGACAGGAGTCTACCCTACATGGGTTCACGGGAGGGCTTCTGGGAAGGTAGAAAAGATACCAGAAGAAACCACGGCAAGAACTACTCCAAGGTGAGGAGGCCGTTCTGCTTCACCAGTGACTGAGACTCCCAGAGGAGTCAGAGTTAGTGTGCATTGTGGGAGAGAATGGAGTTGACATGGATGACAGTGCTACTCACGTCATGGCCTCTGAACCAGCACCAGAATTGCCCAGAAGCCTGTTGGAAATGGAGAGTTCGAGCCCACCCTGGCTACTTAGCCTGAGTGCTAGAGGAGGTCCTCCTGGCCACTGCTCTGCTAAAGTCTGACGGACACTACTCTGTGCCACAAAAGTAGCATCCCATGCCATGCTCAAGGCATGGTGGGATGAGTGCCCCCGAAGGAGAAACATGTGCAGTTAGCTCCAGAAACAACACAGGGCTGGCAGGGCCCTTACTGTACCATTGGCAGGGGAATAAATGCAGTGCACACAGCTCCTTGGGGAGGCTGTCATTTGTCACACCACATGTGCCCAAATTCATACAAATCGTACCTGGCAGAGGCAAGCCTATGCATACCTGGACTTACCTAGAAGGGCTGAGAGAAGAGGGAGCCACGGGCCACCAGAAAGTACCCTGAGGAAGTCCCAGGACACGGTGGTTGGCACTTGATGGGAAAGGAGTCAGGACAGCCTGCACGAAGCCCTAGCCAGTGACAACTATCTGGAGACATCCAGTCTGACTCCGTAGGCAGAAATCAGGGCTCCAGCTCACTGGAGGCTGGACCCAGTGTGTTGACTTGGAACTCCTTTTAGAGCTCTATCCTGATTTTCTACCTTGGGTCTCTCCTAGGTTCTGGCTGTCTCTGATGGAGGTGAGTGATAGCCTGTATGGATGAGGCATGGCAGGGAGGGAGGGAGGGAGGGAGGGAGGGAGGGAGGGCATGGCAGGGAGGGAGGGAGGGAGGGGGAAGGGCGTAGGGACACTCCCTGACACTTGTTGGTCTTTCAGGCAATGTCCCTGAGTATAGATGCTTGCCTGAAATGGGGATTGGGTCAAAGGCTTAGGAAGGAAAAAGCTCGCTGCTCCTTGTCCATCTCCCTGCAGAACTGACCAGCACAGCGAGTTCCCAGGGCCAGAGTGAGGGCCGAGGCAGCTCCCTCAGCATCCACAGCCTCCCCAGTGGCCCCAGCAGCCCCTTCTCCACGGATGATCAGCCTGTGGCCAGCTGGGCCCTGTCCTTTGAGCGGCTGCTGCAAGACCCACTGGGCCTGGCTTACTTCACTGTAAGTGGGGTGGGGGTGGGGCTGGGGGAGAGGCAGGCGCCATGTGATCTGGAGATGGCATAGGGTGGTCAGAGCGCCACTTCTCTCTGTGGTCCCTCGTCTAGCCTGCCTTTGGCATCCTTCCTCTCACCACCAAACTGGGAACTCTTCCTTCTCGTCCTCATCTCTGCTTCTCATTTTCTTTCGATGATCTGGCACCATCTGTCTGTCTGTCTGGTCTCTTGGCCCGGTGTCTGTCCCAGTCTTAGAACACGCCCCTGATTCAGCCCTGTCTGAAGCCTTCCTTCCCTTCTCTTCATGCCAGGAGTTCCTGAAGAAGGAATTCAGCGCAGAGAATGTAACTTTCTGGAAAGCTTGCGAGCGCTTCCAGCAGATCCCAGCCAGTGACACCAAGCAGGTGGAGAGAAAAGCGGGACGGGGGGGGGTGAGGGCCTGGGACATGCCCGCTGACCTCTTCCGTTCCCTCATCCCCCAGCTATCCCAGGAGGCCCATAATATCTACCATGAGTTCCTGTCCAGCCAGGCGCTGAGCCCGGTCAACATCGACCGACAGGCCTGGCTTAGTGAAGACGTGTTGGCCCAGCCCCGGCCCGACATGTTCCGGGCACAGCAGCTTCAGGTGAGGGGGCCGAGGGCAAGGCCAGGCTGAGAAGGGAGACCAGATGCTGGGGCGCAGTCCGAGCCCGAGGGGAAGGGGCTAAACTGGATGCAGAACCAGAGCCAAATGCAGGGCCAGGGCAGGCGCTGGACGGTGAAAGCGGAGGATGGACTGGGGCGGGGTCAAGAGTAGGGGAGGGCCTCGGACTCCAGGTGAAGGACGGGGACTGAGAGCAGGGGTGGGGCTCCCCTGCCTGGGCTGGCGACGACGCAGGAGGCGCAGGCAGAACCCACCCATCCAGCCCTCCACCGTCCTCCCCTGGTGCCAATCGCCCTCCGTACCCGCTGGCCGCGCAGATCTTCAACTTGATGAAGTTCGACAGCTATGCGCGCTTCGTCAAATCCCCGCTGTACCAGGAGTGCCTGCTGGCCGAGGCCGAGGGACGCCCGCTGCGGGAGCCCGGCTCCTCGCACCTCGGGAGCCCCGACACGTCCAGGAAGGTGCGGCGCGGACAGGGGCGGCAGGAGGCTGGGCGGGGACTGCGCAAGGGTCCCCAGGCATAGATTCGCGTGCTGGGCTAGAACCCCGCTATGCGCTAGAGAATCCCTGTGCCCCCAGAAGCCGAAGCTGAAGCCCGGGAAGTCGCTGCCGGTGGGCGTGGAGGAGCTGGGGCAGCTGCCGCTCGCTGAGGGCCCCAGTGGCCGCCCTCTCCGCAAGTCCTTTCGTAGAGGTGAGGCCATCCCCAGAAATGGTGTGGCCACGGAGTTTGGGCCAATTTTGGGAACGCCCTCTTCTTCATACTTGACCCGTAGTCTGCAAGAAGGCAAAACGCTCCTGGTTTTTCCAGGAGGCTGTCCCTGCAGGATGGCTACAAACAAGGCCCACCAAGTGGGAGGGTCTTATCAGAGGGAGGGCGAGGGGAAGAAAGTCGCTTCATTAATGACTTTCCCTTAGAGATGACGGGTGGTGCCATGAACTTGGCGCCGCGACGAGAATCTCAGGGGTCCCTGAATTCTTCGGCCAGTCTGGACCTAGGCTTCCTTGCCTTTGTGAGCAGCAAATCTGAGGTGAGCGGCATTTGAGGGGATCAAGGAGCCTTTCTGTTAGGACCACTGCCAGTTGCCTTCACGGGTTCCCAGCATTCCCAGAGGATGTCTACACTCCAACTCCTAGCTTACTACACAAAGCAATCACCTTACCCTTTCTTTCTTTCCATGCTCCATAGTGATCTCTGTACACATCGTGGGTGTACATCCTAGCTGTCAGTGAGGGCGCCTAGGTGTACACTGTATGATGTGTGTGTGGTTAGTTAGTGGGCCTTTCCCTGAGTGTCCACGTTTATTTTTTTGTTTTGAGACAAGGGTTTCTATACATAGCCCTGGCTGCTGTAGAACTCAATCTGTAGACCAGGTTGGCCTCAAACTCAGAGGTCTGTCTGCCTCTGCCTCCTGTGTCCACATGTTTGAGCGTGCGTGCGTCAGTTCCTGGGGCACGTCTGCACCTGCCTCCAAGTGCGCCCTCACGCACGTGTGCACGTATGTGTCCCGGAGAGCGTCCAGCGTCCCTGTGTACACACAGTCTCTGCTCTTGCCCGCAACCAGAGCCACCGAAAGAGCCTTGGAAGTGGCGAGGGTGAGAGTGAAATCCGGCCAGGGAAGTACTGCTGCGTGTATCTGCCAGATGGCACAGCCTCCTTGGCGCTGGCTCGACCGGGCCTCACCATCCGCGACATGCTGACAGGCATCTGTGAGAAGAGAGGCCTCTCTCTGCCTGACATCAAGGTCTACCTGGTGGGCAATGAACAGGTGCGAGCACAGCCCGGCCCCAACGCAAGCCTCCTCTCTGTCAGTTCTCTTCCTAATCTTCTCTGTCTCACCCCCTCCATCCCAACCCCCGAGTCCAAGTCTGCACGGGTGCCAGCGCCAACTCCTCATTCATTCGCAGATACCCACTCACACAAAGCCCACCCCATGGCCTGGTTCCCAGCTTTACCCATCGCCCCACTCTGAGGGCTTCAGGGAGGTAGTCCTGGGAGAGCGTACCGCTAGAACTGGGAATTCCCTCCGCTCCCACAGTTCACCCTGTCATCCCCGCAGGCCCACCCCTAAAGCTGCCATTGGGGGCCCCACCTCTCATCAGAAGTCTGCAATGAACCTAATCCCAGAACTCCTCCTTTAAGTGCAAGTGAGAACTCATTTCTTAAAAATAGCTTATTTAAATTCGTTTTATGTGCATTGGTGTGAAGGTGTCAGGTCCCCTGGACCTGGAGTTACAGACAGTTGTGAGCTGCCATGTGGGTGCTGGGAATTGAACTCAGGTCCTCCAGAAGAACAGCCTGTGCTCTTAACCTCTGAGTCATCTCCCCAGCCCCAGGGAAACTCATTTTAAGCCATTTTGGAAGGGGACCCAGGGAACAATGCTGCATTCCAGTGGAAGGGACAGGGATTTATCCAAACCAGAAGAGGTAGGCAGGGTGTGTGGTCAGAACTGGAGGCCAGGTTGTGTCAACTAGTCTCAGGCTGAGGTTAGCCAGACAAGAGGTGGTCAGGGGTCAGACCTCCAGAGCGAGTCTTCTGGGGAAGGCGGGCATGCCTGTCAGAAGGCAGCAGCTGAAGAGGCCCGAGCAGAGGGTCTGGAAGAACCACAGAGAGAGGACTTCCAGGCAGAGGGAGGGAAGGAGGCGCTTGCAGGACCTGGGGTGCGGGAGGGGGTGGGAGGTAGTCTGCCCAATTTCTTAGGCCATCAGAACAGCTGCCAACAGCCCAGATGGGCCTTTGTGCCTGCCAAATATAGCTTCGCCACCCACATGCCACCTGTCCCTGTGGCGCAGCACAGGCCCTCTGTCTGGGAGAGGCTCCCCGCTCCCTTTGAAGGCCTCCCTTAAGTCTTAGGCTGGTACAGACAGCAGTTTTGTCTGTGTACCTACTGTGTGCTTTTCATTTTCCTGGTCTGATTTGTGTGCGGAGGGGCGGGGGCTGACCTAGGCATTAAGGAAACAAGAGACAGGGCCCCGGCAGCTAGCAACAGGTGGTAGGAAGGAGAAGAACCCTGTTTCATGCAAACCCCGCACCCCCTGCACCCCCAAACTGGATCCTTTCCCAAGCCTCCCCTCCGATTCCCAAGCATCTTCCGTTTTTCCTTCTTTCCTTTCCTTCTCTTTTATTTTTCTTTTTTTCTTTTTTGAGTCAGGGTTTCTCTGTGGCTTTGGAGGCTGTCCTGGAACTCGTTCTTGTAGACCAGGCTGGCCTCGAGCTCACAGAGATCTGTCTAGGCATCTCTGCCTCCCAAGTGCTGGGATTAAAGGTGTGCACCACCACCGCCCAGCTCTTCCCTTTTCTTTTTTTTTATTTTATTAATAACATTCTTTTTCATTTATTTTACCTACCTACTGCAGTTTTCCCTGCCTCCTCTCCTCCCTATTGCCCCCATTCTTTTTCAGTGTGTGTGTGGGTCTTACTGTGTAGTCCTGGCTGGCATGGAACTTGCTATATAGCCCAGGCTGGCCTTGAATTCTTCCAGTCTCTGAGCAGAATACTGGGAATAAATATGTGCACCACCATGCCGCCATGCCCCGGGTATCTTACGCTCTTATGACCCCTTGGCCCTGGTCTTCTCAGGCTAACTCTGCTGGTCCTTCCCCCATCTGCCTGTCTAGCCTTCTGTTACCCATGGGCTAGTGCTTCTGCTCCTTAGGGTACCACACCAGAAGCCAAAGGAGGAAGCGAAGGTGATTTCCAAGTATCCTTCCCTCCCTATCCCACCCCCCCCATGGCTTAGGGTGGCGGGAGGGGATTCTTAGACCCTGCCTGGCATCCGCAGAAAGCCCTGGTCCTGGATCAGGATTGCACAGTGCTGGCAGACCAGGAAGTGCGACTGGAAAGCAGGATCACCTTCCAGTGAGTGCTGTACCCCAAAGTTTGATCTGGATTCCAGCTGTCTAAGGTTCCCAGATCTCAGCTCTCTTCCATTGATCTGGGAGCTCTACCCCCTAGGCTAACGTCCCACCCCCTAACTGCTCTACCCGCCCCAATTCAGCTCTGTCCCCTCGGGGCTCGTTTTGGGAAAAGGGGCCCCCTGGGTCTCCACCACTCTGCAGCTCTAGGGTCCTGTACAGGCTGGAGTTAGCTAACCTGGAGCGTGTGGTGAGGATCTCAGCCAAGCCTACCAAGCGTCTGCAGGAGGCGCTGCAGCCCATCCTGGCAAAACACGGCCTGAGCCTGGAACAAGTGGCCTTGCATCGGGTGAGAGACGAAGTCATAGGTCGGGGTCGGGGTGGGGGTGGGGGTGGGGTTGCGATCTGACTCGTAGGCTGCTAACCTCTTTCTGTAGCCAGGGGAGAAGCAGCCGCTGGATTTTGAGAAGCTAGTGAGCTCGGTGGCCTCACAGACACTGGTTTTGGACATCCTTCCAGGTAAGGGATGTTATACCCTGGGACTTGATTTCCCAGTGTGGCTCTGGCACAGGAGGCAGGGCTTGTGAGAGGAAGGCGGAACCCAGCGGTGGTGCTCTCCGTTGTAGGTGCTAAGATGAGTGAAGCCCGCAGCCCATCTCCCTGCCGCAGCCAGGTAACGGGGAACCTCAGGGTCTCTTTCCACCTCTGCTCCCTCCCTCCGGGTTGTGAACTTAACCCCACTTTCTTGCAGGGTTGCCTGCCTAGAACCCGGGACAAGGACACTCATCTTGCTCCGCTGCCTCCCAGTTTGCTGGTGGAAGACGCCAGGAGCTCTATGGGGAAACGGCAGACCTGTGACATTGAAGGTGCACTGTGGGTCGCGGGGTCAGAGGGATGAGGGAAGTGGTATTGGGGTTGAAGATCACTGAGGGTGGCATCAGAGACCTGAGCTGAGGCTGGGGCTAAGGGCTATTGGAGTTGGAATATACTGGTCGGGTCAGGCTGAGGTCGTAGCAGGCAGCGGAAAGGCGATGCATTAGCATAGGTGCTCTGGCCATATGGGTCTCCTGACTCTGTGGCTGCCCCCAGGCCTGGTGGAGCTGCTGAACCGCGTGCAGAGCAGCGGGGCCCATGACCAGAGGGGACTTCTTCGCAAAGAGGACCTGGTACTTCCAGAATTTCTGCAGCTTCCTTCCCAAAGGCCGGGCTCCCAGGAGGCTCCGCCATAGACTGAATCAACTACCCAGCCCAGGAAGGGCCCTTCAGACCCCGCTGCCCACCCAGCCCTCTGACACCTGTGTAACAGTCCGGGCTGGCTGCATGGTACCTGGGCGGACCAAGCATGCCATGGGTCTGCTCTGCATGCCCTGTCTGTGCCCAGTGTCCCTGGCCCCTTTCTGCTATGGGCAGGCCCACAGAAGGAGCTGGGAAGGGGGTGGAAGGGGAACTCAGAGGACCCACACTCCCGAAATGTGACTACATGTTCTCATAGGTTCCCCTACCCATTCTTTACAGCGAGAGGCCAGCCTAGCCTCTCGGCATAAGCACACTGAACACAAAGGGGGTGACTTTGGCAGGGCCAGCCTCCTCAGCTTTTTCTAAGCTTTAGCTGGGCAGGAGGAGGGGCTGGCCCCTCCTTAAAGCGTTGATATAAGTAAATCCTGGGAGAGCTGGTGGGCAACCCCTCCCTCCGTTCACATAGACTGTACATAGGATTTTATGGTTGGCTTGGGGCAGCTGGGTTTGTCCTGGATGTATAATATTGTTATTATTAGTATTATTATTCAGCCCTGAGGTGTGTTTCTTGTGTGCCACTCTGCCCTGCGTGGTCCTATTACCCCCACTGCCTCTGTCATCAAGGCCAGGAAGTTCTTGGGGACCTCACTGTATACCTCCCAACTTTGTTTTCAGAGTCTCTCTTCCTAAGGCATGGAATATAGGAGGTAAAAAGAGGGAGAGGATAGCCTGGTCTACAGAGTGAGTTCCAGGACAGCCTCCAAAACAATACAGAGAAACCCTGTCTTGAAATACCAAAATAAAAAATAAAAAAAAAGAGAGAGAGGGAAAGGAAGGGGGAGGGAGGAGAGGAGATAGAAAGAAGGGAAGGTGAGGAGGAGGGGGAAGGTAGAGGAGGGAGAGGAGAGGGAAGGGGGAAGGAAGGGGAGAGGGAGGAGAGAAAAAGGGAGAGGGGGAGAGAGACATCTTCCTCTACAGCTGTGCCTACAGCTGCTCTACAGTGTCCTCGGACAGGAATTTTTGTTGCTGTTCCTGTTTCTATCAGGGATTCGCTGTATCTCTACATCCATCACCGAGGGCTCCTTAGGGTGCATCACAAGCTTATATGTGGGACTGGGCAAGGCACTCTTCTCATCTGCTCAGCTGGGTGGTACCGGCAGCCAGGGAAGGCGGGGAGCCAGGGGGAGGGCTTCTCAGAAAGCCAGCCTCAGCCTGCAGAGAGAGAAGCCCAGCATGCTCCCACCCGGGAAGGTGGGTGCTGAGAGGAAGAAGGTGACTTGAGGGGTAGGACAGAGCCCTGCACACAGGCGAGGGACCCCTCCACCAGGACCTCCTCCTGCTCTCCCCTCTTGTCTGACTGGTTATCCTTGAAATCTGCGGGATAGCCAGGCAGGCCTTGGTGATGCATGCCTTTAATTCCAGCACTCGGGAGGCAGAGGTAGGTGGATCTCTGTGAGTTCGAGGCCAGCCTGGTCTACAGAGCGAGTTCCAAGACAACCTCCAAAGCAGTACAGAGAAACCCTGTCTCAAACAAACAAACAACAAAACAAAACAAAAACCCTGAAATCTTCAGGGTAGATCAGCAGGCTATGCTGACCCACCCTGCCTTCCTCTGGGGGTTTCAGATTTCTGCCACATGGACAGAGTTTGGCTCAGATGTGGTTGTCTGAAGCTACTCTGATAAGAATTGTAATCCCGGGGCTGGAGAGATGGCTTCATGGTTCAGAGCACTGGCTACTCTTCCAGAGCACTTGGGACTGATTCTCACCACAGGGCAGCTCACAATCATCTGTAGCTCCAGGTCCCGGGAATGTGACATCATGAACACTATACACACACAGTGTCTAGACAAACACACAGGCAAAACCACCCACATGCATAAAAATAAATACTCTTATTTTAATCCCTATTATGTTGTTATTTTCTACCACCTTCTGAGCATTTGTACAAAGGCTTTGCACACAGAAGAAACCCACTCAGGAGAGGACGTGGGTGGCTGATAACCAACCACACATCACACACACCTGGAATGGTCACTCCTTGACTTTCACTAAACTCTTCCTGGGAACATGAGCTTGCTACTGTGAGGTAGGTTTCCAAGACCCGCGACTACAAGGAGCCTGCCTTACTGAACATCTTGGTAGTCTGGAATAGGCTCAGGAAAATATGAAGGGACAGCAGGCACCGGGAGTAGGGAAGACAAATCCCTTTTGCTAAAATAACTTCCCCGGGAAAAACATAAACAACATCTACCCTCTTCTTAAGGCCCAACAAGAACCAAGAATAATTTCCCCCAAGTTCCTCCAGGAGCAAGGGTTATTTAATCAGACACTCTGGAAGGCCTGCACCCACGAGGAATGATAGCTTCCCTGTGGCTGTGTAGATGGAGCCCCGCCCCTTCATTCTTTAAGCATCTATATCATCTAGCCTCCTCCCCCAAGATCCACTCTATTAGGGAAGAATTGCACACAAATGGTTGGGAGGTGTGGCTGAGCACTCAGATGAGGGCCCCATGCCTTCCCCCACTTCTATGAGGGAAATAAACAGCCAATGGCCCTGACTTCGATTATCTTCACCAGCAGGCTTAGCATAACTCCTGAAGATGGTGAGTGTTTGGTTCACACAGGACAGCCCCATACAACAACCCCTATCTCTTCCCTGTCACTCACAGAACTTCCCTCTAATTTTCTTGGACAAATGTAAAGAGGTTCTGCCATGAGCTCCAGGGAGAGAGGAGGGAGCACAAAAGAGAAATGGACTGTCTCCCCAAAGCTGGTGCACCCCACAGGCCAAGCTTCCCTCACCCTCAACCCTGAACATCTACAGAGTCAACAATGATACATGTTACCCTTATGGCTGGATGAAAGCAGAGAGAGCCAGCATAAAGTTCATCTCCTGCTAGATTGGATACATCCTAACCTTTTTTTCATTTTTGTTCTTACAACAATCTGATGGAGATAAAAGCTAAACTGCACCGGGAAAGTAACAAGAACTGTCACTGTCACCTGGGGTGTCACTAACTCTCAGGCTGCTGGATGCAGGAGCATGGTCCCAGGAGGCCTGTGTGATGTAGGCACCCAATGAGCCATTGTCATTTAGGGGAGAGCATTTTGATATTGCTGTTCGGTCCTGGAGGTAGGTCAGGAGTTTCTGTTAAAAATCAGAAGTAGCCGGGCAGTGGTGTCACACGCCTTTAATCCCAGCACTCGGGAGGCAGAGGCAGGCGGATCTCTGTGAGTTCGAGGCCGGGCTGGACCGATAGCCTCCAAAACAACACAGAGAAACCCTGTCTCGTAAAAACCAAAAAAAAAAAAAAAATCAGAAGTAGAGCTGGAAAGATGACTCATTAGTTAATGGCCCTCACTGTGCAGCCCTGAAAACCAGAGGTCAGATCTGAGCACCCATGTACCAGCCTGGGCGTCCTGCATGTGCCTGTGACCCCAGCTCCAATCCAAGTAGACAGGAGAAGCACCAGGGCTTCCTGGCTTCCAGGAGAGCTGAGAAAATGGGAGTCCCAGGTAAGAGAGAGAGAGAGAGACCCGCTTCAAAGGAATAGGCCTAGAGTGATGGAGGGAGACACCTGACATTGTTGTGACCTCCATCTGTGCGCACAGACACAAGTATTCCTTTTAATTAATTAATTAAAAATGTTTAATAGATGCTTGTGGAAGTCAGAGGAGAACTTGCAGGAGTTGGGTTTTCTCCTTCTACCGTGTGGATCATTTGGGGTGAACTCAGATCATTAGGCTTGGAGGCAAGAGCTTTACCTGTGGAGTCATCTTGCCAGCCCAATAAATACATCTTTAAAAAATAAAACAAGCTGGGCAGTGGTGGCCCACGCCTTGATTCACAGCACTCAGGAGGCAGAGGCAGGTGGATCTCTGTGAGTTCGAGGCCAGCTTGGTCTACAGAGTGAGTGCCATTACAGCCAGTGCTATACAGAGAAAACTTGTCCCAACAAACAAACAAACAACAAAAGAATGAGAGTTTCTGGAGAAGTGTAGCTCAGTGGTCAAGCATAGGCTTAGCATACTTCAATCTTCTGCACCAGAAATAAAATAAAATAAGAATAGAAGTTTCTTTACCTCACAGTTCAGGAATCTGGGAAGTCCAAGAGCATGGCTCTGGCACGTAGTGAGGCCCTTCCTGCCAAACTGTAACATGGTAAAGAGCATTACATGGAGAGACAGAACATTAGCCAGAGAGCTGCTTAATAACCAAGTTACTCCCAAAATAATCCATCAGTCTACACATGATCAATCCTTTCACGACCCCAGATCCAATCACTTCTCCCCCAATCCTGCCTCTCAGATGTGGCCCATACTTGTAATTCCAGCACTGGGAGGCAAGCTAAGACAGGAGAGACTGTGAGTTCAGGTGGCCTGGACTACATAGTGATTTCCAGACAAGCCTGGGCTACAGAGTGAGCCTCTGTCTAAAAAAAAATGAGAGAGGGGGGAGGAGAGAGGAGAGAGAGAGAGAAGCACTTGGGAGGCAGAGGCAGGTGGATCTCTGTGAATTCAAGGCCAACTTAGTCTACAGAGTGAGTTTCAAGACAGTCAGCGCAAGTCAGACAGTGGTGGTGCATGCCTTTAATCCCAACACTCGGAATACAGAGGCAGGTGGATCTCTGTGAGTTCGAGACCAGCCTGATCCACAAAAACGAGTTCCAGGACAGCCTCCAAAGCCACAGGGAAACCCTGTCTTGAAAAAAATAAACAAAGTAAGAAAAATAATAAAAATTTGTATAAAGATTTATTTATTATATACACACTGTTCTGTCTGCATGTCAGAAGAGGGCACCAGATCTCATTATAGATGGTTGTGATCCATCATGTGGTTGCTGGGAATTGAACTCAGGTCCTCTGGAAGAGCAGTCAGTGCTCTTAACCTCTGAGCCATCTTTCTAGCCCCGAAAAATAATAAAAATTTTAAAATCCACCATTCAACACTGCTTCACTGAGGACCAAATTCCCAATATAAACATTTAGTAGACACATTCAAGCCATACTGTATCTGTATATAAAACACAAACACACGCTTACGAATGTACAGAGAGGAAAGAATTTTCTGTAAGTATAAAACTGATCAAGGAGACTGAGAAAGGTACCAGGATTAGGAATAGTGGTCAAAGAAGATTCTCAGTTTAGCTTTAATTTTCTCACAAATGCAATTTTAAATAGCTTTATTATATAAAGAAATCCCAGGAGTTCATCTTTACTTCTGTGGGACAGCCATTCCCAGTTGCTGTGTTCCTTGAACCCTCAGGGTCTTGGGCCTTCACCAGCCTAGGCAGACCTCATCTTCAGGAAGAGGAACCCAGACCCACAGCTTCCTCTCTTACCAGCTCTGTTAACCCACGGGAGCTATTTCACTGCCGCTGACCTACACTGAATCAACGGTCCTCGAACAAGGTGGTAGAAAGCTGTCCACCTCCCCAGAAGGGATGCCATGAAGGTGGTACAGAGCTGTCCACCTCCCCAGAAGGGATGCCATGAAGGGCATTGGCTTCATCTACCCAGTACATAGTGTGAAGGGAAAGAACACACAC